TGCAGCGATTTGCTCCTATTTTTTTTATTTTTTTTAATTTCAAATAAAAAATTAAGAAAATAGCGATTTATTAAAAAATTATTTTTAAAAAAATATTTTAGAAATCGCTGTCAATGCAGCAATTTTACTTTTTCCGGCAAGCAAAGTCGCTGCCCTTCCAGCGATTTTGCCCTTTTAGTTAAAATAAATATTCATATACTACTTTAAAATTTTTATTAACATTTTATACCCTTTAGGCTCCGGACTCCGTATTTGTTGAAAACTTAGAACAGTTAACTGAATTAAGACACAACTACTTAATTAAAAACTACATATATTAATTAACGTATGATACGTGTCCATGCCATTTGATTATCCATGTTGAGGATTGTTAGATACATTGCATGTTGATGAACTGATATTTAATACATAAATTATTCTAATTTTTCCTAATGGATTATTTTTTTAAAAAAATGCAAACATCTTTGACCGTCTCTTAGCCAACACAAAACAATTACATATTAATCATACATAAAATTTGATAACAATTCTTTCAAAATGAAAATACTTAGAATAACTGACATACTTTCAATTATCGAATTTATTATGAACAAAGCTTTAAAATTCATTATTTTGTCCTAGAAGAAAAAGATAATGACATTTTCAGTTCCACGTATATATATATACAAACTCAATAAAATAAATGTCTAGAAATTTTTGCTATTAAGTAAATTATAAATAATGTTGGATTTAGGAGAATAAGACAAACTGGGATGTAACTAATGATGCAATCATTACGAAATCTAACGGCGTAGGGTTTAAATTATATGGGTTTGTTAATGATGTATTAGATTAGTGATAATTCCAATCTTATAATTATAATTAATTAATTAATTAAAATACTAGTTTAACGTGATGATAGAAAAAATCGAAATAGCTTTGTTGGGAATAAATAAAGTTTAGACATGTTCTCTGGTTTTTCATTTAGTCAAATACCTCATCCATGTGCATTGTCATTGTCACAAATTTGTTGTATCCTTTAATTCTTTTTTATTTATTATTTATGAATTTTAATTTATATAAATAATTGTAATGTATCATATGAGTTCATCAAATTAGTTCTATTTGAGATCATCAAATGCATAAAACTTGGATTTATGTTCATCAAATACATACTGTGATTCTTTGACATTAATGATGTACTCTTCTATTTTATATTACTTGACTTGATTTTTATTAATATACATATTTCTTAAGAAGACTTTAATCAAAAGTATAGTTTACTAAATTAACG